GCTGCAGGCAGCACAGCCCCGATGGGCCTGGCGTCCCCCTGGGGTCCTCCCGGGGGCTCTACCCATTTCTCGGAAAGGTGGTGTCGTGGGGGAGGCACTGCTCCAAGCTCCTGAAGAACACAACTAGGTTTGAAACAAAATATGAAGGGTGGGTGGCAGGACCCCAGGATCCCGCCCTGGGCTGGACTCAGGGCCATCATCTGGTAGGTCTGGACTCCGCCTGGGAGCATGAGGGACTCGGAGTCCTGGTGTGGGGCCTTCCCTGTGAACTGAGAACCCCGTCCGGCCTCCATTGCTGTGGACAGTGGCCTGCTCCGGTGTCGGGATGCCAGTGGCATCGTGTGAGGACACTTGTGGACAAGGGGGGGGACATCCAGCAAGATCACCCACCAGCATGGCCGGTACTGTCCTGCCCAGGCCCCCACCCCCACCCTAGGAACACTCGTCCTGAGTGGTTTGCACAAGTGACCTGTAATTCTCCAGGCCTTTCCCCAGTCTCTTAGGCCATGCCACTGGTGAAGACCCTTCTGGTTTCGGTCCACACCACCCAGGGCCCTGTGCTCTGCCCATCCAGCCATGTAGACCCCTTCGGGGGTGCTGATAAACTCCCACGCCCCGCTTTGGTAATGGCGCCTGGAGTGTGTTTCATGCTCGGGCCCTCTGCGCTCTGTTGTCACCTCCCTCTAGAGTCTCACTTCCACAGCGCTCATGATGCTGAACGCCCTGAGCCATGTACTATTCGTTTGATTTATTCACGATAAACACCACCGGCCTCACCCAGCCCTAGCCATTCTCGTGGGCTTGCACAAGTACAAGCATCCAGGGGATTGGGGCTTAATCTCTCAGCTGCTCTCTGAGGTCCGAGCTCCTTATCCCCTCTTTATGAGGAGGAAACTGAGGGATGAAGTCTTGGAAAAACACAGTAGCGAGACACCCATGTGGCTTGTTGCCAGGACACCATTAAAGCCGCCCAGGAAAGGAGCTTCTGACCAGCCCCGACCTCCACCCTGACCCCACCCAGCCCCAGGCCACCACCTGCCACATGGGCTGCTTGACAGGCTGACAGCCAGCCTGTCCCTGGCCCACCTGCTGCCCTCCCCCGGGCTCTGGGAGGGACCAGACCCCTGCCCGGACCCCCGCATGGCTCTGTGTGCCAGCTCTTCTGCTCCCAGCCCTCCCCCTGCAGCCCAGTAGGCTACATGCCCATGAGCTTCCCCTCGGGGTCCTGCCCGGCTCACTTAGACCATCACCGAAAGTACCCCTGCTTGCTGCTGAGCCAGGACCTCCCCAAGCCCACCCTGAACTCAGGAAGAGGCCACCAAGCCCAGCATTTCCCTTTCACAGCCAGTGAATCGGTCATCATGAAACTCCTTCCAGGGATGACCCAGCCACATCTGCATCCCCCACAGAAAATGGCCCCAAAGCACCCCCAGGATGCACTGAAAGGTGGAGATCATGGACCCTGCTGGGTCTGACATGCAACCGGCAACTCCCTCAGCCCCACACCGCCCCAGGGTCAGTCAGAGGCTCTGTCCCTCCACAACTCCCTGTCCACAGAATAACCCCACCAAATACGTGGGGTTATTAAGTGTCTCGCACCCTTCCCCTCTGTTTCCTGTGGTGGTTTTGCTGACAAAGGGGACCCACAGCTGGTCTGGGAACAGGGGGCTCAGGGGAGAAATGTGACCACTAGCCAGCACCCAAGGGTCTCTGCCACTCCTCTCTGGGGCTTATACTGCCACCTTTGGGGAATGGGGAGCTCCGCCTGCCAGCCATGTCTACCTCAGGTCATCACTCTGCTGTCTGGCCACCATCACAGGTCTGAAGCTTTGCTCCAGGAAAATCCTGTGGGCTGAGAACAAAGACTCCAACCCACAATGAGTAGAAGCAGCTCCTCCCCATGCACAGGTGTGGGCTGTCCCAGAGGTCAGCACAGGCCACAGTCTTGCTGGGGACAGGGGAGCCTGGCAGTTGGCTTGTCCAGTGCCCGGACGGTCTTCTTGGGACAGGTGGGCATCCTAGACTCATGCCTACATTCACAGACACCAGAATGCCCTGTGTTCCAGCACTGGGCTATCTGCTGGGATGCAGAGGGCAAAGAACAGGACACAGCCTCTGGAGCTCCTGTCTGCTAGGCTGGGTTGGCAGAGAGCAGCTTGGAAAGGAAGACTGGGGACAGCAATAGTGGAGAAGGGCCAGAACAGTGTGAGAACATGTCCAGACCAGAAGGTGGGAGGAAATGTGAACACACATGTCCAGATGTAGCCAGATGCAGCTTCCCACACACATGAGCAAATCTGAGAATGAACACCTGGAACTGCAGAGCAATGGGTCAGATGGTGGAGGTGTAGAAATCACATTGCCTACAAGATGGTCTGAGTCCTCTTTTTTTTATTATTTAAATTCAATTAGCTCATTATTAGTTTCAGATGTAGTGTCTAATGACTCATCAGTTGTGTAATAATCCAGTCAAGAAATAGGCAGAAGACATGAACAGACATTTCTCCAAAGAAGACATACAAATGGCCAACAGACACACATCACTTGTCATCAGGGTCTGGGTCCTCTTAATAACAGCATAGATTCACAGCATGGGGGCTTATATTTTTCTATCTTTGCCAACTTGATAAGGAATAATACCTTACCATCGCCTCTTTTACCTAGACACATAGCATCCCAAAGGGTGGATACACCATTATTGATTTATGCAAAAACAGGGGAACAGGCACTAAAGTCTCTCTAGTTTTGATTGTTACAAACAACACCATCATGAGCATCCTCCCTGCTTACCTGTGTGCACTACTGTAAGTTTTCACTGTGCCTAAATTCCTAGAAGTGGGACTTGCAGGTCAGAGTGTTTGCTGATTTTAAATTCTGAGCGATATCAACAAATGCCCTCAAAAGGACTTTTCAAGATTGTGCCTACTAAGCGTGATGTTGGAGAACATCAGGAATGGGGAACTCTAAGGGCCCACCTCCTCACCCCCACAGAAACACTGAAGACACTGGCAAAGCTGCCGGAATCAATTTCATCTGAACTGTGGAAAATGGCCAAAGGTTTACAACGACCAAGGGAAATCTTCATTAACACAAAAGCCACTGCACCTTGGTGGACTGGGTTCCAGTGAGGGCCCTGGTTCTGGAGGGAGAGAGTGGGCCCCATTCTCTGAGAGGTGTGGTTGTATCTGCAGTGGCCCTGGAGGGGCCCACACCAAGGGCTTGGCTTTATTTCTTGTAACTTGTAACTCTTTCAAGGCAGAGAGCAGCTACACAGAGTGTTTGTCAAATGAGCCCATTGTTGCCTGGGAAAAGGGTATGGCAAACAGAAGACACACCAAAATGCTGACGACAGAAAGCTGGGGAATGAAATGCTTGGAGGAATAAGGCTTTAGGGCTTCCACAGGTGGCTGGCAGTCCAGAAGACCCCACACATGCCCACAAGGGGCTCATGCTCAGAAAGGAACTGAGAAGGCCCTGAGCACTCACCACTGACTACATGTCCAGCTCTGACTGGCAGGAAGTGAAAGCAAAGGCAGAGCTGTGAACTGCCTGGCCCAAGGTTGTGGGCATGGTCCCAACACGCAAGCAGAGCCCAGCCACAAAGACTGGGGAAAAAATATTGTTTGGCTCCAGGTGTTTAAGGAACTCTCTGTCAAATCACTATCTGACCACTAGCTAATAGAACAGTGACCACACCTGACAAAGAGTGCAGTCATTACAAAATAATTTAGGTAAATGAAAGTTAAAAGAGGTCATTGCTAGGGGTTAGACCTGCCCTACAATAAATAATAATTCAGGCTGAAATAAAAGGACACTAAACAGAAACACAATGATAGGTCAAACAATCAGCAACAACAAACTATAAGGAGGGAGAGAATCTGATATTCGGAATTATCACATTATAATATTCAAAATGTCCAAATTTCAACAAAAACTATGAAGTATGCAAAGAAGGAAGAAAGGATGGCTCATTCACACGGAAAAAAGCAATTAGCAGGAAATGCCCCTGAGGAAGCCCAGGGATTAAACTTTCTAGACAAAACCTTTAAATAAACTCTCTTAATATCCTCTAAGAGTCAAAGAAAACCATGGACAAAGAACTAATAGAAACCAAGAGCATAATATTCACCAAATTGAGAATATCAATAAAGAGACAGAAGTATAAAAAAGGAACCAAATAAAAATTCTAGGGTTATTGAACCAATTGCAATAACTGAAATGATAACCTCACTAGAGGAGCTCAATAGCACATGTGAGCAGGCAGAAGAAAGAATTAGTAAATATGAAGACAGGACAGTTTAAATACTCCAGTCTGAGGAGCAGATGGGAAAAAGGAATAAGGATAAATGAACAGAGATAACAAGACCTGTGGGACACCATCAAGAGACCAAAATGCACTTGACAGGAATCTCCAAAAGAGGGGAGAGAGAAAGGCGCAGAAAAAATATTTGAAGAAATAATGGCCAAAAACTTCAAAAAAAAAAAAATATGATTCTATACAGCCAAGAAGTTCAATGAACTCCAAGTAGAATAATCCAGAGACATCCACATTAAGCTACATGATAACCAAACTATCCAAAGACAAAGAGAGAATCTTAAAAGCAGCAAGAGGGAAGATTAACACCAATTCCTCATCAGAAATGTGAGGGCAGGAGGCAGTGGGATGGAGTGTTTATTTTTTTTATTTTTTTAAAGATTTTATTTATTTATTTGACACAGAGAGAGAGAGTGAGAGCAGGAACACAAGCAGGAGGAGTGGGAGAGGGAGAAGCAGGCTTCCTGTGGAGCAGGGAGCCCGATGCGGGGCTCAATCCCAAGACCCTGGGATCATGACCTGAGCCGAAGGCAGACGTTTAACGACTGAGCCACCCAGGCACCCCGGGATGGAGTGTTTAAAGTGCTGGGAAAGACTGCCAACTGAGAAGTCCATGCCCAACAAATGTAGGAAGGGAAGATTAAGACACTTCAAGGTAAATGAAAGTTAAAAGAGTTCATTGCTGGGGCGCCTGGGTGGCTCAGTCGTTAAGCATCTGCCTTCGACTAGGGTCGTGATCCCGGGGTCCTGGGATCGAGCCCTGCATCGGGCTCCCTGCTCAGCGGGAAGCCTGCTTCTCCCTCTCCATTCCCCTTGCTTGTGTTCCTGCTCTCACTTTCTCTCTCTCTGTGTCAAATAAATAAATAAATAAATAAATAAATAAATAAATAAATCTTTAAAAAAAAAAAAAAGAGTTCATTGCTAGTGGATAGACCTGCTGTATAAGAAATGATAATTCGGGCTGAAATAAAAGGGCACTAATCAGTAATTTGGAGCCATAGCTAGAGATAAAGAACTCCAGTAAGGGTGTTAGTTTGGGTAGTTTGTGTGTTTATAAGGATTTGTGCATTACATCTAACTGTGGTGTCCAGTTAGTACTCTCACATAACCTTTTTCACTTATACAAGGTCAGTAGTGATGTCCCCATTTTTATTTAATTTGAGTCTTCTCTCTTTTTGTCTTAGTCAGTCTAGCTAAAGGTCGTCCACTCTGTTGCTCTTTTCAAAGAACCAACTTTTGGTTTCATTGATTCTCTCTGTAGTAGTTCTAGTCTCTATTTAATTAATCTGTGCTTTGTTTCCTTCCTCTGCCAGCTTTGGGTTTTGTCTGCTCTTCTTTTTCTAGTTCCTTAAGATGTAAAGTTAGGTTATGCGTTTAAATACTTCTTTTTAAATTAAGTGTTGACAGCTATTAATCTGCCTCTGAGCACTGTTTTTGCTGCATCCCATAAGTACTAGTTCATTGTGTTGACATCTGCTTTCATCCCAAAGTATTTTCTAACTTTTCTTGTGATTTCTTTTTCGACCCATTGGTTGTTTCAGTGTGTGTTGTTGAATTTCCATTTATTTGTGAATTTTCCCATTTTCCTTCTGTTACTGGTTTTCTTTCCACTGTGGTCAGAGAACTTTGTATAATTTCAATATTTTAAAATTTACTGAGATTTGTTTTATGGCCTAACATATGGTCTAATCTGGAAAATATTCCATGGGCACTTGAGAAGAACATGCATTCTGCTGTTGTTGAGTTGAGTACTTTGTATACATGTTGGGTTTAGTTGGTTTATAGTGTTATTCAAGGCTTCTGTTTCATTACTGGTCTTTGATCTAGTTGTTCTATTATGTCATTTTTTATTAGAGGAAATTACTTATTGAAGTCTCCA